AGGCAATAATTGGTTTTAACTTTGTGTTTTTGTGTTTTTTCTTTGCTGTCCCTGTGCCTTGTGACTAATGTTTGCTTTGCTACTGCAGTTTACAGTTGTGCTGTATATGTCTGTACCCCCCCCAACCCCGTTTTAAATCAATAAAATGTTGATCACAAAAAAAAAAATATACATATAAATATTTTTTTTAAACTGTAAACCACATGTGTTAGATTGGACATGTGTGCCCTATTTATGTAGGCAAGAGGAGGCTGCACACCAGCACATTTTGTTTTAAGACGGTTAATATCCATGCATTCTTTTATTTAACACCAAACATATTCAACTGCAAAAGGGAAGCCAGCTTAGCGCACAGTAGCTCTGTCATATGTTCATGTTCCGTGTCACTGCATGTGTTACATAAAGTCTGGCTCCGGGACTGCAAGGTCACAGCGTTGTGGCAAACCACTTGGATTGTAGTATCTGCAAAGCAACCTTTCACCCACAAATAATGTCAGCATGTGCTCGAGCTGGGAGCAGTTAGAAAATGTCAGTAATATGATTACCACAGCACAGTGCATGCAAATACAGCACGGAGAAATTACCAGAGGAGCTCATCTGATGCAACTTTAGACCTCTTAAAAGGGGCACAGTAGGTGATACATTTCTGTTTTCCGCCGGATTACTTATGGTAGCAATCTTAAGACCTCAGATCATTTTAAGAAATGGGACACCGGGTTAGATTTAGACTGGATCACAAAAACACATTACAATGCCAAAAATGGCCTCTTTCCTGCAGTGCTCCTTAGATTGAAGCATTTGTTTCCCTCCGTTCTTAAATGGGCCCAGCAAATATTAGATTCTCCTGAGTGAGCCTCGCAATTTCCAAATTTAAAGATGAGAGTTAAGCGAGAACACCAAATTAAAAGTGTGGTTTTGGCATCCTGCGAGCCGTTCTCATCACCATCCATTGGTACCTGTTTGACAGTGTCGTTAATCACAAACAACAGTTGTTCCATTACATTCGTTTGCATCTAGAAATACACCTGTCTTCTTTAGATGACCAACGCTCATCAAACATAATCCAGATTTTTGCCCTTTACACATAATGGAAATCTTTCCCCCGAAACATTATAACCATCTCTGGTTTTGATAATTAATACTTTAAATAATGGCACATCTCTTCAGTGCAGGAACATGCCTGGATTTGGTCTGATACAGGAGAGAAAGGCTCGTGTGTGGGACTGTGTGAAAAGGAGGCTAAATTTACCATCAGCTGTTGAGTGAGACTGCTAACCTTTATCAGGTCCTTTTAGTGGAGGTAAAACACTACCGCACACATATTACACACAGTGACACAAGAGAGGCATAAGCGCAGGGGTACACAGACAAATACAGTGCACGTAACCATTCTTGTGAAACTTGCAGATAACAAATTGCTCTCATCTGCATCTAAAATGGATGCAGAACCTACATAATCTACTTTAAAA